TATGTGTTTTACTCGACCTGTAGCCATATATAGTGATTCCTTCTTCCTCCCCCTCCTCTTTTCCGTCTCCATGTGATTCTGCTTCACAGTGGTGGGGCTCCCCGTTTTTTGCTTCACAGTCGTGATGCGCTCCTCTTTTTTTTACCTCACAATCGTGGGGCGCTCCGTTATTCTGCTTCACAGTCGTGATGCGCTCCACTTTTTTCTGCTTCACAGTCGTGGGGCGCTCCGTTGTTTCTGCTTCACAGTCGTGATGCGCTCCTCTTGCTTCTGCTTCACAGTCGTGGGGCGCTCCTTTTTTTCAGCTTCGCAGTTGTGATACGTTTCTCTTTCCTCTGCTTCAGTGTCGTGGGGCGCTCCGTTTTTTTCTGCTTCACAGTCGTGATGCGCTCCTCTCTTTTCTGCCTCACAGTCGTGGGGCGCTTTCCTTCAGTTCCCCCACTTCCCTCACTTCCCTTACTTCCCTCACTTTTCTCACCTCCCTCACTTCCATCACTTCCCTCACCTCCCTCACTTCCCTCACTTCCCTCACCTCCCTTACTTCCCTCCGTGCCGCCTTGCGGGCGCTCGCTAAACATAGCTTACACCGCATAGCTTACACCGCATACCTTACATAACACATCATATACCACATAGATTACACCGCGTAGCTTAATCAAAATAGCATGCACCACATAGGTTACACCTCCATGGTGCAACAAGTCACTGTTTAGGGCCCGCGACGGTCAACATGTTCCTGATTCGCTTCTTGCTTTCGTTTTCACACCCCATGTGGAAAAAACACCAACGTATTTCAAGCCACCTTTTCGCCCCCAAAAGGTTGCTTGAAATACCAGCCATTTTTGGCCGATCCGCGGGCGAGAAAATAATGGACGCAAGGAGGGAGGTAGGGGAGCAGAGGCGATGCTCGAGGTTTGTTGAGGAGTCAGGCGATGCTCGAGGGCTGTTGAGGGAGGACGCTGCTCATGCCTTTGCGCTGGCTCAAAGACGGAAGCGACGAGTGTCACTGAGGGGGGGGTGAATGCACCCCCCCCTCAGTGACACCTCAAGTTGACTTGAGGTGTCGTTCACCCCCCCTCGGTACATCCCCAAGCCAGGCGCAAGTGCCAAAAGCAATGCGAAAGACATTGCGTGTTGGTGCCCAGGGGGGGTGAGTGACACTCCAAGTCGACTTGAGGTGTCACTGAAGGGGGGGGGCACTCACCCCCCCCGCAACGACGCGTCTTCGTGCGCTCCTCTATGCGTGCCGATTGCTTCAGAAATTTGCGCAAAGACCGAAGCAACGCTGATCCGGCAACTCCGAAGCCCCCCCCCCCGTTACTACACTCAAGTTAACTTGGCGCGTCACTAGCGCGCAAAGACCGAAGCAATGCTGGTCTGGCAACTCCGAGCCCCCCCCCCCGTTACGACACTCAAGTTAACTTGGCGCGTCACTAGCGCGCAAAGACCGAAGCAATGCTGGTCTGGCAACTCCGAGGCCCCCCCCCCGGTACGACACTCAAGTTAACTTGGCGCGTCACTAGCGCGCAAAGACCGAAGCAATGCTGGTCTGGCAACTCCGAGGCCCCCCCCCCGTTACGACACTCAAGTTAACTTGGCGCGTCACTAGCGCGCAAAGACCGAAGCAATGCTGGTCTGGCAACTCCGAGGACACTCAAGTTAACTTGGCGCGTCACTAGCCCCCCCCCCCGTTACGACACTCAAGTTAACTTGGCGCGTCACTAGCGCGCAAAGACCGAAGCAATGCTGGTCTGGCAACTCCGAGCCCCCGTGTCACGACACTCAAGTTAACTTGGCGCGTCATTAGTGCGCAACGACACAAGCAATGCTGGTCCTGCAACTCCGAGGCCCACCCCCCCGTTACGACATTTAGGTTAACTTGGCGCGTCACGAGGGCGCAAAAACACAAGCAGCGCTGGTCCTGCAACTCCGAGCCTTCCCCCCGTTACAACGCTCGGATTGACTTGGCGCGTCACTATGGCGCAAGGACACGAGCAGCGCTGGTCTGGCACCCCCCACACCCCCTGCAAGTAAAAACGCCTAAGAACAATCAGTACGTTGGGAGTCATACTTAATTTACATAGCGTCTTTGGGTTCAAGTTGGGCGCGATCGGAGTCACAGAAACCACGTGCAAAGTATGCCAAAACAACCATGGTACTTCAAGGCACTTTTTGGTAGGAAAAAGATGGCTTGAAATACGGCGCCCCTTGACTTGAACGAAATACCGCCGCATTTTTTGCGTCCAATAAACGTGGCCTGCGTGATTTCGCTCGCGAGCGGCTTGAAGGAAACGTTATTTCAAATGCAAATAGGGAAGATGAGGAAAGTGGGGATTGCGAGGAAAGGTGAGGAAGGTGACGAAAGGTGAGGACCGGTGATGAAAGGCCGGGAAAGGTGAGGAGAGTGAGGAAAGGTGAGGAAAGTGAGGAAAGGTGAGGAAAGTGGGGAAAGGTGAGGAAAGTGAGGAAAGCTGAGGAAAGCGAGGCAAGTAGGGAAGATGAGGAAAGTGAGGAAAAGTGAGGAAAGTTATCAGGGATATGAGGGAAGATGAGGAAAGTGATAAGTTACGCCCCCGGCCTCTCGAGGATCGATGGGGGAGGTTCTCGGAAAGTTTCGGATGGCTTTCTGGACGTTTCTGGTTCTTGAGTGGCCTCTGGAGGCCTCCAGGTGCCCTGGGGATCTCCAGAGAGCTCCGAGGTCAGGATCCGCGGCGGGAGCAAAACTTACCACCGGCAGCGACGGCAGCAGCTGGAGCAAAAGCCAGAGCAGGGGCAACGCCAGCAGCCACGGCAGAGGCAACAGTGGCGCAGCACGAGCAGCAACACTTGCAGCAACATCGACATCACAAACAGCAGCGGCTAAAGCAGCAACGCCGCCTCCTACGTCATCTTACCGCCTCCTCCCTCCTGGCTCCTCGTTCTAACTCGTCCTACCTCCTCATGCCTCCTCTTGCCTCCTCTTACCTCTTCCTACCTCCGCCGACCGTATCCTACTTCTCCTATTATCCTGCTTCCTCCTACCTCCTCCTACCTCGACCTACCTCCTCCTCCTCCATCATCGTTCCTCGTCCTACCTCGTCCTACTTCCTCTTACCTCCCCCTAACTCTTCCTGTCTCCTACCTCCTACCACCTCCTCTTACCTTCACACTTCCTCCCATATGCTATATTCCTGTCTACTTCCCCCCCCTCCTCCTACGCCTCTTCCTACTCGCTCCTGCCTCCTCCCACCTCCTCGTACCTTCTCCCACCTCCTCCTACTTCCTTTTACGTCCTCCTACCTCCTCCTACTTCCTCCTGCCTCCTCCTACCTCCTATCTCCTCCTACGTTATCCTCTCTCCTCCTCTCTCCTCTTCGTCGTACCTCGTCCTGCCTCCCTCCACCTTATCCTAATTTCCCCTATTTGCTTCTACCTCATTATACTTCTTCTTAACCTGGGTAGGATGTGGTATGAGTCGGTAGGAGGAAGGAGGCTTGTGATCCTCCTCCTCCTTTCCCCCTCTCTTCCACCACCCCGTCCTCCTTATCCTCATGATCTCCTTCCTCCTCCTCCTCCCAGCCAACTGGCCATCTGGCCTGCCGGCCGGCAAGCCAGCCAGCCCGTCTGCCAGCCAGCGGGCCAGCAAATCAGCCAACCAACAAGCCAGCCAGCCAGCTGGCTGGCCAGCCGACCGGCCGGCCAAACAGCCAACCAACCGAGCAGTCAATCAGCAGCCCGGACATCCCGGGACCGATCGACCAGCCAACCAAGTGGCCAACCGGCCAACCAGCCCCCGCCAACCCAGCCAGCCAGCCCACAGGCCAACCAGCCAGCCCGCTTGCAAATAAGCCCAAGAAGCCCCACGAAACCCCAAGAGCCAACCACAAGGAATCCATAGGAATTCGCGTAGACATCCCCACGGGAATCCATAGGAGCCCATGGGGAACCCCATAAGAATCCAAAGGGATCCTCATAGGAATCCGTAAGACGCCCCATAGGATTCCATAGGCATCCCCCGAATATTCCATTGGAATCCACAGGAATCCCGATAGGAATTCCTAGGGGAATCCCCAATAGGAATCCGTAGAACCCCCCATAGGGATCCATCGAAATCCCGATACGAATCCATGGGAACACCCATGGGAATCCATAGTAATCCTCATAGGAATCCGTAGGACACCCCGTAGGCCTCCATAGGAATCTTCATAGGACTCCGCACGCTTCGCCATAGGAATCCATAGGAGTCCCCACAGTACTATATGTGTGTGAATATATGTATATATCAACAACAACACGCACCACCACCAACACCAACAACAACAACAAAAGGTGGCCCTCGCTCGGCCCTCACGACGCCAGAATGCGAGGAAAATCTGTCCAAAGACCGAAACAGCGCAAACGAGCGCAAATGCTTAAATCAATCCCAAGCCGAACCTCTGCCGTCAACCTCTTCTGGTCCGCTGGCTGCTGGGTTTGGCCGGCCTCGCGGGAGCGGCCGGCGAGCCCTCGAGCCGGAGGGTGGCCCACAGGGCGCGCTGCAGGCGCCACCTGCGTCAAAAAAGCCTGCGGCTCCGTTGCGGCATGCGTCCTCCGTCCTCCACCATGCCTCCCCTCCAGTCCCCTCCTGCCGTCCACGGCGACGGCGACTGAGCCGACAACGAAACCGAGGCCGACCGAAGCCGACAGGCCGCAGGAAGCCTGCACGGGCGCGCCCACGCAGCAACGACGTGACAACCGACCGGAGCGGACCGGCCGAACGCAACCCACTGCGACACAACCGAACCGACCGAACCTCGGAGACCACCGCACCCCATTCCTTCCTTCCTTCCCTCCCTCCTTCCTTCCTTCCTTCCTTCCTTCCTTCTTTCCTTCCTTCCTTCCTCTTGAGCCCACTCCTCCCTTCCTTCTCTCCTTCCTTCCTTCCTCCTGACCCCCGCTCCTCCTTCCTTCCTTCGTTCCTTCCTTCCTTCCTTCCTTCCTCCTGAGCCCCCTCCCTGTCTCGCTGTGGCTTCCGCCCGGTCCGTGCCGCTCGGCGTAGCAGCGCTGGCTGGCGATGGACACGTCGAACTTGCGGGCGTGCATCCTGTGGCAGCAAGCCAGAGCAGCCCTAGCTGGAGCATGGACAAGAGGTTGACGCACCTACAACATCCTATAACTCCGAGCCTGGTAAATATCGTCGTGCTGCCATCCTCTAATTTAGCACAACTTTGGGCTCGCACAGGCACAGCTTACTGTGCATCTTGCAAACTATGTGAAAACGATTCGTAAACTGCTCACCATTTCGCGCAATGTGACAAGTTAAATGTCTCCCGCTGTGGCGGATACAACGGGTGGGGCACGCACGCCACAACCTGGGAGAAAGAGGGTGCGGACGAGGCTTTGCCGATACCTTGAGGAATGACATGCCGTTGGTGAGGCGCCCGCTACAGCCCAAGACGAGAGGGCCGCCTCTCTCGCCGCACCTCTCCCCGTCCTCCTAGTCTGGAGGAGGCGGCGGGCATGGAGGAACGAGCACCCTTACTCGCCGCGCAATCGTTTCGATCCCCGCATGCCAAATCTCGACTAGATTTTGATTTCGTAACAACGCTGGCGGACCCTCAGCGCGGTCGGAGCGGTATACCGGGCAACGGAATCGAAAATGGGGCACTGATCGCAGTAGAGCAGAGCGACTGCGGAGGGAGGAAAAGGGCTGGAATGCGCGCTTAGGCCGCCAAGACGCTTACCCGTCGGTCGGAGGAAGTAGGTACAACCATACAAGAGGAAGGCGGATCAAGTAGATTTGATCCATGCGCTCCCAGCTCCCAGATAAGACGCTTGAAGTATGTTGAGGTCCAGGAATCCAGCACGCCTACGTTCAACGACCGACGTGTACACGCACGCAGCCCACAGCGAGCGGACCGCCGCAGCACAGCCCTGGACTGGCGTGGCGCTCGGGAAGGCACTCTACTCTGGTGTAAGGCGAGAGGGGATGCGCGGCAGGCACGGCCCTGCGGGCTGAGGGCCCATGGCCCTCTCGGGGTGGATGACTATCGGAACCTGGACCATATACAGTACCAACGGCGGGCTGCTCTTCAATCCCAGGGCTTTTTGGGGGTCGGGGACGACGCTGGGGTGGTGTGGTCTATACTTGTTGTCCTCGATGTCCTGGGGAAACAGCGAAAAATGTATACAGTCGGGACGTTGACCTAAGGAACCCTAAATAAGGAACGAGGCCCATTTTTTCCAAAGGTTAACCTTCCATTTCCTGTCGAAAACATGAGGAAAGCCTGAGGCAAGCTGTGAAACACTTAAGGAACGCGGAGCCCCTCCCCAACGGAAAGGGTTCCTTCTTCAGGGACCCGACTGTACACCAGGCCGGAGAAAGCGTCGGTGTGTAGAGGTCGATTCCCTATATAACCCCCGCCCAGCCAAGATCTGTTCGAAGGTGGTCGCCGCACCCTCGGACGCACCGCCCAGACCGATCTGAAGGCAAGCCTTCTTAGAAGCCTCCAGGCTCCTCCGAGAAGCCACACCGCCTCCTCCAAAGGCCGATCCCCCTCCTGCCACCCCCTTTCGGGCCGGGCGAAAGGGGGGGATAGCAAAGGGGGGGTTTGAGAATCAGCTCACGCAGCTGATTTTCCCGGCGCCTCCCGGCGCTGGGCGGCGCCCATGTATCGAGGAATGGGCCCGCCAGCGGGGCCGAAGCCAGCTGCAATCAGCAAATTTCGTAACCCCCTCAACCACCCCCTTTCCCTATCCCCCCCTTTCGCCCGGCCCGACCCTTGTGCGCGCCCCCAGTTTTGACAACCAAGCTGGCCACGCGGCGTGCTGCGCCCGCGAGCGCGTGAGACTCGGGGTGAGCTTCCTGGCAGCCGCGCTGGGCGCGGGCGGGCGCACTCGGAGGGGGCTCCCTGGCAGCCACGCTGGCAACCCCACGTGCGCCTGGAGCGAGCGGGATGCCCCTCGGGCCTCACGGGATGGACGTGGGAAGGTGTCCGGCCCAGGGCGATTTGAGGCCAGCAAGCAGAAGCGTGACAAGTCCTTGACCTGTCCTCCCTCTCCCCGCGCTCGTCCTCGTCGTCGAGGAGGACAGGGGGTAGAGAAGGTCGCGCCGCCCCAGAGAGCACCGGCCGCGTGCGGCACACCCCGGAGAGGGCACACCCTGGCGAGCCCCACGGGGGGCAGATCCAGGGGAGCGAGATCGGCACGACGAACAGGACCCCGGACCCCCGATTTCACGATTTGTTCGTAATGTCGACCCCCAGAAGTATCGACCCATTCCCCGGGACCGGCTTTTCATCCTGAGTCGTTTAGTGACGATCCCGAAGCGGAAGCCGAAAATGAGGAAAAACCGTCCGTCGCGATTGTTTCGCGACTCGAAGGGGTCTGGGACGGTGTCCGATCAGGGAGGGAGGCTCCCAAGAGGCCCCCGCATTCTCCACCAGAGGCCCCCGAGAGCCTTTAAAAGAGACCCCAAGAAGCATCCCTGAGGACTCTGACCCACGTCGTCATCGTCGTCGTCGTCGTCGTCGCCGTAGTCGTGGTCGTGGTCGTGGTCGTGGTCGTGGTCGTGGTCGTCCCCCTTCAGAGTCGGCGGCACCGGCCGCAAGACCTTCGCGATATTCTCCAGGGGGGAGGGGACGCCCGCGGCGCGCTCAGGTGGGGCGACGCGAAGGGGGCGGCCTGCCAAGCAGCCTGCGGGGGCTACTTCAAGAGGCCTGCGGGGGGCGTCCTGGAAGCCACCCCCATCTCTTGGAGGCCTCCAGGGGCCTGCTAAGAATGGAGTGGCCGAGGGACGCACAACATGGGTACAGATCCCAAGAGCCCCCATCTGTTGCAATATTTTCTGGATTCTCATCTTCCCCTTCGCTCCCCAGATTCCCTCACATCTTCATGGGGATCGACGTGTCAATTTTTCCCTCCTGGGAAAAAAGGATCCCGCCTTCCACGAAACCACCCTTCCAGGAAACACAAACGCGGATTCGCGACGCACGGATTAAGGACTGGCCCCGCTTCCGTTGAAGACTCGGCGCGCTCCGCCGACACATCCGGCGGCACTGGCGCCCACGCGCCAGTAGAGGCATCCTCGATGGGGTCCGAGCAAACAGGCTCGGAGGATCGCACCACGTCGCCGATGCATCGGCGATGCATCCGCGACGTCGGCGATGCATTGGCGCCGTCGGCGTGGCGAAAGCCGGGCTCCGCATCGAACCGCATCGCAGATACATCGGCGACGCGGCGCGACGCTCGGACCCCATCTACGGCCAGACCTAGGCCAGAATAATGTCCTTCAAGAGCATGAGGCCCTTCGCTGGCCAAAACACCCCAAACCATACGATCACCGAGGATAGTTTAGCACCCTCCTCCAGGATGCACAAGGACATCCAACGAACACGAAAACACAAGGGTACCCTCCCCGAGCCGACTTCGACCTTAAACTTCGGTCCAAACATGAAGTAGGAAGGCGTTGAACGTAGATTGGGTTCCATACGCCCCCTATGGAGGACGGAAACATGTGAAGCCACTCGATCATTGAAGTAGGAAGGCGCTTGAAGTAGATTGCAATCTGGGAATCCAAAAACACCTACTTCCAGCGACCGATGGGTACCGCCAGATCCACAGAACTCAAAATCCATGTTGGCGCGCGCCCGAACCCCGCCTTCGCAGGCGGCCGCGCACCCCTCGCGCCGCCCCCCCAGCGTGCGCGCAGCCATGCCCTCCTCTTCCCACTCCTCCTCCTCCTCCTCCTCCTCCTCCGCCTCTGTTCTTTCTTCTTCTTCTTTCTCCTCCTCCTGGCCCTCCTCGAGAGGGGTGCGTCCGAATAGTCCCTTTTCTGAGAGGTCGAACTGTTCACGCGGACCTCGGGGATTGGGGGCGAAACATCGCCTGCGAGGCTTTAACTTTTATCAGAACCGATGGCTGGCCCTCAGTGGGCCTGACTCTCAGAGTGTCGCTCTCGGTTTGTTTCTTCGGACTGGGGCTCGAAATTTCCTTAAAACACCACTGCGCTCCTTGAGTCGTGGACGTCCCTCCCCCAACGTTCTGCATCCCCGAACTCCGACGTCGCGAACCATCATGCAACGCCGTGAACAGTGACGGCCAGAGCCTCAGAGACCCCATCCTTCGGCGACACTTTGCGAACCGCATCCTGCTGGGATGGCCCCGGGGCCTGGAAGGAGGCAGCATCGCCCGCAGCGCCAGGATCTCAGGGACAGCCCCTTGCCCTTGCCGTCGCTCCGACGTCCCTTCCCCGTGCATGTTTCGGTTTCGCGCGTCTTTTCTGCTCGATGGCCCAGGATGGTCCTCGATGGCTCTCGCCGGGAAAACATGCACACGTCCGAGCGATGCCGAGCCCCTTGCCAGGCAGGGCCCGGGCCCTCCCCGCCCGGGGGGGCCTGTCTGCCACGGCGGCCAGCCCCACGGCCGAGATGCGGCCCCCCGGGCGCGGCGGCTGGAACTGCACGGCCGCCGCAGCGGCCGCCGAGCCTGCCGGAGGTGCGGTGCCGACAGCCCGCCGCGTCGTGCGCGCGCGCGCAGCGCTCCGCCCGGCCGCGGGCCCGCGTGCGCGCACGCTGCACGCCTTGGCGGCGGCCACCGGGATTCCCACGGCCTACCAGCCTCGAACGTATCCCTATCCCTAAGATTGACACGCCAAAAGGCGATGACAATCTTGGGGATTCGCCCTCAAAAGATAAGGGAATCCCTAATATTGGCATCGTAATGAGGAGGTGCCCAGCATAGGGATAGGGATATGTTCCAGGCTGGTAAGATTCCCACAACTGCGTCCATGGTTTCCCAGCGCTTCGACAGGATTCGCGGGACCCGCGCATTGCACTCGCTCTGGTGGCCGCCTGGATCCCCGTGGCCTGGCGTGGCTTCCGGTGGCTCCGCTTGGATTCGCTGGACCTCCTGCGTGGGGCACTTGTTCCCGTGGCCGCTTGGATTCCTATGAGTTCCTGCGGCTTGCGCGTTGCATGCTTTCCAATCCGCCTGTGGTCTTGGTTCCTCGCTTTGCATCCACAACGCCGCGCGTCTCTCTCTCTCTCTCACTCTCTTGTGTCAAGTCTGCACTCACCTCACCTCATCCCCCACCTTTCCCTCCTCCTCCTGCATCTGTTCCCCGTCCGCATGTGAATTCCGGCACACCCCTCACACGGTTCTTGTCCTCACCTCACGCGGGTCGTGCCCCATGGATAGGTCCATGCACGGCCTGAGTGACCAGGTCGCATGCCACGGATGCGCCGATTTCGGCACACCCCGGGCACAGATCGTGCCCCCTGGGAGCGTCGCCAACAACCTCAGTGTGCCTGTTCGCGTGCTGCAACGCCCACATGTCGGAACACCCCTCGCAGACATCGTTCCCAGCAGGAGCTCCACCTACGGCCTCAGTGGGCCAATTCGCATACCGCGGTGCGAAAATTTCGGCACACCGCTCACTCTGACCCTGCCCCTTATGGAGCCCCCCTACGTCCTTAGTGGGCAAGTTCGCATGCCTGGAACGGCCATTTCGGCAAACCCTTCCAGCGGATCGTGCCACATGGGGAGCTCCCCCTACAGCCTCAAGGGGCCAGTTCGCATGCTGCGGCGCGCCCATGTCGGCACACCCCCTCTAGCGGATCGTGCCCCCCTTAGGAAGCTCCACCTACGGCCTCAGTGGACCAGTTCGCATGCCGCGGCGCGCCCGTCGGCACACGCCTCACATGGATCGTGCCCCCCCATGGGTAGCTCCCTCTACGGCCTCCGATGGCAAGTTCGCATGCCGCGGCGCGCTCATGTTGGCACGCCTCTCTCGCGGATCGTGTTCCAACAGCTCCTCTCGCTGTGGTACAATTTAGAGTTGTCAGGGCGCAAAAATCACGTTGATCCGCGGCGTTGACGTTCCAAGAGCGGTATTTCGGCACGGTTGAGGACTGTCAGACGGTTGTCCTCTAATGGGCCACTTCCCGCAGTGAACATAATCCCACCAGCCCTCTGGGCATGTGGTTTAACGAACCTGTGTCTTCTCTCTGCTAAAACCCCTCCTCCCCCCGCTCTGAGGAAGGGCTTACCCCGTCCCCTACCCCATCCCATGGGTCTGGAAGGAGGAGGGGGGCCGAGGTGTCAGAGGGTGCTGTTAGTCAAAGATGGCTCCCAAATGGGTCAAGATACCTCAAGATGGCTCACGACAACCTCCGACGCAAATCCAAAAAAAACTCAAGATGTCCCCAAGACACTTTCCGTCGTCGTCGTCATCGTCGTCGTCGTCTTTTCCCGGTGGGGTCCAACAATGTATGCCCAAACGCTTATCTTTGGGGGGGTCTAAACCGAAACGTCAAACGATGCTTCTGGGGGGGGGTCCGGATTCTGGTGCGGTTGCACCGCTCTCGGGAGGGGGTCCGAGACAGGCCGTCGAGCACTCTTCTGACACCCCCGAACGCCGAAAACCAGTGCTGGGCCACCCTTAGCCCCCCCAGCCGGCTCCATCCTTCGACCCTGTCTTGGGGGCGCGCAAGCATGGATTAGCGATCCATGGATTTGGCGCGCGGTCGCCAAATCCATTGATCGGGGGAGGTGCCCTCCCCCAAATGCGGCCAATGCCGCCTCGCTCGGCGGCGGAAATCCGCGATTCCCCTATGGAAGTGGGGCCCGTCGCTAATCCACGCCCCCTTGATCCATGCTTGCGATCGCCTGACTGGGGCAGGCCTTCAGGGCAAGGCTTCCTGTAGACGGCCTCCCGGGCAAGGCCTCCTGGGAGGGCTCCCTGCTCCTCCGCGACGAAGCCAGCTGCTTGTCGCACGGGCACTCGCCCCCTGTCCCCGACACCTTCCACTCGACGGACCAAAACTGCCGTGAGCCCACAGCGAGCCCACGCCTGCATCGCTCGGACGTCCATTTCCTGTGCATTTTTCGGTTTCGTGCGTGTTTTTTCTGCTCGATGGTCCAGGATGGTCCTCGATGGTTCTCGCAGGAAAAAAATGCACACGTCCCCCGAGCGGCGACCGCTCCGCGGCGGCGCTGCGCCGCGGCGGAGCGCCTGCGCCCGCCGCCTCCGGCTCCGCGCCCCGCGGCGCGGCGGGCGGCGGCGCAGCGGCCTTGTCGTGCTCGTCGTCGTCGTCGTCGTCGTCGTCGTCGTCGTCGTGCTGGTCGTCGTCGTCGTTGTCGTCGTTCCCCCTCCCACATTGCCGCTGCCTTCATTTCCTCCTCCTTTGCCCGCGTCCTCCTCCTCCCGCTCCCTCATCCTGCCTTCCTCCCCCACGCGCTGGTTGCAGGGGGCCACCAGCTGCACTCTCGATCGCTCGTGGTCGTCGTCGATCGTTCGATCGTTTCGATCAATTTGTTCCGTCGTTCTCTGACCTCGATTCGTTCCACGACTTGATTCGCCTCGAAATCCTGGCCAGAGCGCTCTCCAGATTGGAGAGCTCCGGGAGTTTTTTTTCTGGGTCGACCTGCGCCAAAAAAGGAGACTCCTGGAAGATAGAACACAAACAAAACGTCCAGGCCGTTTTCGCAACTCATGGGCTTCTGAGGCCATCCCGTTGAGCAAGGACCGGCCGTCCTATATGTCTACCACGACATGCTCTTGGGATCAAATAATTTATGATACCAAAAAAATATCCTTAGAACATCAACAAGGTGTGTTCAAGCAAGACAGTCTCAGCCAAGGATGTTCTAATAACGTTTCGTGCAAACCACAGCAGGTTCTTAGAACCTGTTTTAGTGTGCCTGTAGGCGAGCCAAAGCGCTTCGCCACTGCTCGATCCCGGACCCCCGCGCCTTGAAACAGCGACTGAGGTGAAACGCTGGCCGCGGGGAAGGCCATGGGGTGCAGGACCAGGTTCCGCCACGACCCCTTTTTCCCTCATGCCCATGCGTTGGAGGAGGAGGAGGAGGAGGTGGAGGAGGAGGAGGAGGAGGGGTAGGAGGAGGGGGAGCAGGACGAGGAGGAGGAGAAGGAGGAGGAGGAGGAGCAGGGGGAGGAGAAGGAGGAGGAGGAGGAGGAGGAGGAGGCTACCCAGGCGGGCGCAAAACAACTACATGGGGTCAAAGGGCTCGGACCGCGTCACCAACGCATCGGCGGCGTCAGGATGGAGACAATCAGGCTCCAGATCGTTCCGCATCGCCGATGCGTCGGCGAACCTCTGACCCCGTCTGTTCCGATCCAGCCTGGGCGGCCGGGATGCGAACTGGCGCCCAAGGCTGGAATAGATAGTGGGGGTCCACTCGGAGGAGGTTAAGGTTAAGCGCGTTGGAGGTCTATCTGGACGGGCAAGCGACGATGGCGAGCTCGAGAGCCGGGCATGCCTCTGCGAGTGGAATCTCGATGCAAGCCCCCGCTGCGTAAAAGGGCCTGCCTGGCGTGCAGCGCGGGGGCCTCTGAGGGGGGTGCAGTAGGAGGAAGAGGAGAAGGAGGACGAGGAGGTGGTGGAGGAGGAGCAGGAGGAGGAGGTGGAGGAGAACGAGGAAATTGCCCATTCTTGGGCGGGAACCCCCGCGACAGGCGTGACAAGACCTCGCGGCCCGCCGCAGAGGGACCTTGGGGAAGGCACAACTCAGCCAAATATTGGACCGTGTCCACACAGTTGCGGCCGCAGGCCCTGCAACACAACACTCCTCTGAGGCAATCCAGGGAGTGGGCACCATGGGCACGGGGCTGCGCATGGTGAGCTACGGCCGCCTCAGGAACGTCACGCATTGGAGGCTTACCCACGTACCGCCCAGGATTGAAATCCGAAGTCTTGCCTCTGGAAGCTGGGAACCTGCGTTGGCACACCTCACACCGCCAACAGCCTCCATTCCTGACCACAGACTGGCCAGCACCGCGAAGGCGCTGGCGCCGCACAACGTCGGTAGGCAACGCCTTCGGACGAGAGGGCGGCCTACCGACGCGATCGGCTTCACTGCGGGCGCAAGTGAGGCTGACCACCCTGCTGACATCCCACAAGCGCAACAGAACTTGGGAGGTTAGCAAATCAACATCGGCAGTCAACTTTACACATTCAGGATCTACCTCCCCTTTGGCAGCGGCCGCGCCAGCAAAATAGTCCGCAAAGGCATTTGCACATGGTTCCTCCTCTGAAAAACCCCAGGCACCTCTCAGGGCCACGCTCGCATGAGCCTTCGTCCCGACCAGCTCGGCACGACCAGATCTCTGATCCAGCTGAGCCCAGGTCCGACACTGCAGATCGAGCATCGGGGACGTTCGGGCGATGTGGGTTCGGGGCCAGCTGAGCGCCCGCGCCGAGGGGAGGTAGTCCGCATGCGCCGCGATGTCGCCTGTGGTATGAACGAGCAACTGGAAGAAGGCATGCATCTCAGCGCGCGGGCTGGGCTGCTCATGGGACGGAAGACTGCCGCAAAACACTCCTTCGAATCTCAAACCTCCAGGAACAGATTCAGGATCGAGCTTGGCCATGGCCCGCCCACATCGTCGAAGCCTCCAATCCTTGACTCACGTGCCACCTGAACCGTCAAGGCCCTGTGCGAACGCGGGGGGGCTCGTCGGGGGGATCTGACTGATGGCGGCAGCCAAGGTAGGGGGGCCACGATTCCAAAGGCACTTTCAGGACGCGTTCGACCAGCCTCCTGAGCTTCAGGGACGAGAGGGGCAGACTGTGACATGGCACTGTACTCAATCTCGGAGCTGCACGGGCAGCGCCGCGCCCCGTGCATCATAGTCTCTTGCCATGTTCCACGGCGCGGGCAATCACCAGACGAAAAAATAGCCGGCCGGCCGAAGCCGCGCGTCGGGCCGGCATCCAGCGGACACGATGCAACAAAGCAGACCTGCATCTTGACGGGCGCCTTCGGGCACTACCTTCCGCGGGATGCGCCAGAAAAACCAATGACATCAGCGCCGCCTCCGTAACCAGCGCCGCAATCATGGGTCGGCGCCCTTCCCCAGAGCAACCTGGAGACCGCTCCCTTCGTATATTTATCCAGGGTCCTCGAGGTCCAGCGCGCCAGAAGACGCCGCCCACCTCGTGGGGGAATCAGGCGCCCATCCTAAATCCAGGAAGATAGCAACACACGCAGAGATCAGGCCCTTCGCCAGAGCCCCAGCGCCGATTAGGCTCGACGCCCATGAACTTTGCCCCGGCCGAGGTCCACGCCCGAGCAACGCCGGATTTCAAACCGATCGAGAACTGCTTCCAGCTCCCCGCCAGAGCCCCAAGTTGCTCGCGTCGCAGACGGTCGGCGGAGTCGTCGGCGCACTGGTAGCGAACAGCCAACACAGTAAAGGTACAGGTACCAAGGGGCCAGCGCCCCGAACACTTCGCCGCAGACGCTCGGCAGGACAGGACCTCGCACGGGGGCAATCCCAATGCGCTGTGGCTCCATGTCCCCGCGCTCGGCGCGCCAGGTTTGGATAGTTTGTGAGACCTACCGCGCAATTTAACCAAATGCTGCAACCTACGAGCACGCCGAAACGCTGTCCCCCTGCGTGGCCGGATCGTGGCCATACACCTCCTCCTCCCAGCCGTAGACAGCACCCCCAGAACCTTGACCGCCTCCGACGCCTTGACAAGAGTCCCATGTCGCCCACACTCTGGGCTGGCCTGTCATCAACAACGGAGACACTGCAACCGCGGCGCACTTCGCCGAGACGCGGCATCCAATGGGGGTTACGTCCAATAAGAAGGAGAGGACGGCAGCAGGATCCACAAACATGACATACTTGATCGTTCCTTGCGCGTACTGTGTGACGTCATCCACATACGACGAGACATGCGCGCGGGGAACATGCACATGCGCGCGATGCAGCACGCCATAAAATATAACTTTTTGCCCGCGGGGTCTACTGCGCACAACCAGCCAAGACATGATTGCCTGCAGGAGTGACGCTGGAAAGAGCGCCATCCACCTCTAACAATCGCGGGCGCGCGGGCGCAACCGCGCCAACATGCAACAGTTGTGGTGGGCACTCCAGCTTCAAAGCGAGCTGCACAAGCAGCGGAACCACCGCGCTGTCGAAAATAACGCTCCATTTCCAAATGAAGTGCCAGGGGCTCGAAACCGACGTGCGAAGCGACTTCGTAATAAAGAGCCCTGGGGGGGGGGGGGGGGCGCTCTGCAAAACAGATGGCACCCTGGCGGCGGCATTTCAATCATCCCCGCGAGCGCTGTTCCATTCATCAATCACCCCACCGCGCATGCGCACGTGCACGCGATGACGCGTGGAACGCTTCGACACCGCACGTTCAGCAGCCACGCGCTTGGGGGCCAGCGCCAAATACTGACCAGGCACTGGGTCGGGAAAAGAGCTCCTGCTCAACTAGATCGAAGATCTGCGCGACCCCGTCGAGCGCATGACCTAGATCGACATTCCCTTTGGCAGCGGCCGCACCAGCAAAATAGTCGCACAAGCGTTGGGCAATTGTTCCTCCTCTGACAAACCCCAGGTACCTCCCGGGGCCGCGCTCGCATGGACCGTCGTCCAGATCAGCTCGGCGCTGCAAGATCTCAGATCCAACTGGGCCCAGGTCCGGCTCTGCAGATCGAACGTCGGGGACGTTCGGGCGATGCGGGTTCGGGGCCGCCTGGGTGCCCGCGCCGAAGGGAGGTGGTCCGCATGCGCCGCGATGCCGCCTGTGGTAGGAACGAGCAACTGGAAATGCGCGTGCATCTCAGAACGCTGGCTGGGCTGCTCAGGGGGCGGAAGACTGCCACAAAGCACTCCTTGGAACCTCGAATCTCCAGGAACGCATTCGGGATCGAGCTTGACCACGGCCCGCCCGCGTCGTCGAAGCCTCCAAGCCTTGGCCCACTTGCCGCCTGAGCCGTCAAGGCCCCGCGCTCCACCTTCTACCGCGCTGCCACTGACCGGGGGGCCACAGGCGAACGCGGGGGGGCTCGGCGGTGGGATCTGATTGACGGCGGCAGCCGCGATAGGGGGGGCCCACGATTCCACGAGGCACTCCAGGACACGCTCGACTAGCCTCCTGAGCTTCATGGGCGAGAGGGGCAGACTGTGACGTAGCGCTGGACGCGCTATCGGAGTTGCACGGGCATGCCGCGCCCCGCGCATCATAATATCTTGCCCTGCTCCACTGCGCGGGCAGACGCCGGGCGGAAGATGGCCGGCCTGCAGGGG